CAAATTGCTTATTTTTGCAAAGAAATTGTAATTTGAATTGCAAAAATTGTTCTTTTTAATTGTTTTAACTGTATTTGGTGTTTTATATTTTTCAATCTTTAATAACGATATTTAGAGGTTTTATGTATTTTTGCCTTGCCATGAAGCGAGAACTGAATTAATTGAATGAGAAATATACTCTAATGAAATCCGAAGAAAAAAAGTTTAAATGAAATGCAGCAAAAAATGCAAATATATAATTTAATATTCCGTACAAGGAAATCATGTGGTGTACACATCAGATTTTTATTCTTGCCAAGCGGTGTCTTTCTTCGACAAATAACGACAAATTTTTAATAAAAGCCTTGTTTTTTTTTTTTTAAAGCAAAGATTTGGAAATGACCCAATTAAAGGAAATCTAACTGAAAAGCAGCCACAACATAAGCCTTTGGGCAAAATTAAAAAATGACACAATACAAATTTGTCAATTAAGTTTACCACTTTTGGAGTTTAATTGTGATGCTCCACTGCTCATTAGAACTGGGTATAAAAAAGTTTATTTTAATTTACTTAGTAAAGAAATCATGTATCAGTCTAATTAAAAAATAATACAAAATAAAACCCTATTGAAAAAAGCATTTGATGTTTAAAAATAAGTAATATAATAATTTTTACCTCTACAGAAAGCTTTCATTTCATCTCTCCAGCCACTTTCTGTCAATCTTTTCTTCAGTAAGTCTTTCAATCTAAATTTAAGATAAACTGTTATATACTCTAGGAAAAATTTTCATTATTGACAAAATATGAATTGTAATATAACATATTTTATTAATAGGGTAAAACCCCACTAGTATAAATTTGTATGATTAATAATTTGCTCTTTAGCCATCTTTTTGCTTGGCAGTCATCTCAAACTGAAACATTGTTGATTTCACACCTACTGAGTACTTCTGTTCAGTAGAATTTAATCAATTTATTCAGCAGCAGAATTTAGGAGAGGCAAAATTTTTAAAATTTTGAAAGGCACTGAGAAACAAAATTAAGGGATGGCCATACAATTTAAGGGCAGCAAAATGTTTGGAATTTAGGACACACACAGACTGCATTGAACCACAAAATGTATATCATCGGCCTTGGATATGCCTAAAGTATATGTGGGAATTTATTTATTTGGGGCTTAGATAAGACTTAAGCAAGTATGGAACAAACATATCTTTAATCACCAATCTCACGATATATTGGCATTAGTGAATAGTGAAACAAAATTTTCCAATTAATGAAATTTATGAAAAAATTGTGAAGTTGGTTGCAATAAATGAAGATGATATAACAGAAGTTTTTCATTGCGATGATAATGGCTCAATCTAGGAAATACTGCTACCGACAGTGAAGAAATGGCAAAAAAGGCATTGAGAGTGAAAAAACTTTCATTGACATATTAGTGAGAATTCTCAACACAGCATTCAGAGGATCTGAAGAAGGGAAATTTTTAACTACACAAGAAATTATGTCAATACCTAGGAATAAAGAAAAATTCTGGCACAATAACTGAAGCAACTTAAAACAACTTACACTGCCGGAAATGCAAACAGAATTCTTATTTGTAATAAAGCAAATATTTTTTTTTGTAAATTTCGATTCCTTCAAGGTGATAAATGCTTCATTATTTCATATTTCTAATTTTATAATTTCTACATTCACATATAACTTTACACTACCATATTTGATGGCATATAAAACGCACCCTTATTTAGAAGGTCACACACATGTAGATGTAGAAAAAGTTATGTGTGTCTAGACCTTATTATCCGGCCTAAAAATAGCATTCAGTATTGAAAGTTAACCTGTGTCCTTATTGTATAAGATGCAGGTAACTTTTTTTGAGACCAAATTTAGGAAAAAAAAGTGCTTCTTATATGCCGTCAAATACGGTATTACCCGGAAATATCCCAAACCCAGAATCGCCAAAGTCCCGACAGGTCTGGATCTCAGATTTTGTACTGTATAGTTGTTATTCAATTAAACTAGCAAAAAAGTTAAAATTAATTAAAAATTAAATAAACAGTGGGACTTTGGATGCGTTGATTTCACTTCAAAATTTAAGTAAAATTCATATTACAGTCAAAAGTCGTTAATCCGGACTTGTCGGGACTTCGGCTATTCCGGATTATCGATTTTTCCGGATTATAGATCATCAGTTTAAATCTAGTAAGATGGCATGCAGAAATTCTAAATTAAAAACATGAAAACCGTTTAATTTCTGAAATAAAGAACCAATTATGATCTAAAGGGTATCAAAATTTTACAAAAAAAAAAAAAAAAGCTTAATATTTATTGTTACTGATTAAAAACATTTCTTTCAATGTAAGTTGTTTAAGTTGCTTCGTTTTATGTGATAATACTTTCTCTTTAATTCTATAAACAGACATAATTTCTTGTTCAGTTACAAAGTTCCGTGTTCAAGTCCCGTAATTGCTGTGCCGAGAATACCGACTAATGTCAATTGAAAATTTTTTGTTTTCACTAACCTCTCTGTCACCTTCTTCATGTCTTTCCCATTTTGCAGCATTCACTTTTGTTTGATGGACATCGAAACATACTTTTGTTTGTAGATCCTTTGGGAGGCTCCAGAATCGGAAATTTATTTGACATAATCGAAAGTTCAAGTTTACTTTTATAAAATTGCTTTTCTGCAAAAAAATAATCCCGATCCAATTCAAATATTAAGGAACACGCAATCATCAACATTAAACTGAAATAGATAATTAGATAATTTTAGCTTTTACCGTCTGTTATACATTAAACTAGCATGCCAAACGTATTCTGCGCTTGCGCACACGCATATGCGCAGTTGTAAAGGTCTTACGCGCATGTGTCAACGCGGCGCATGCGCAGAAAGTTTTTAGCTTTGAGGTCCGGATTATAGATCATTCCGGATTATGGGTGTCCGAATTAACGACATTTGACTGTATTTAATTTCCATATCTATGTAAATTTTGGTAATAAAGTAATATGCAATCTATTGCCTGAGTTGCTTATTTACTTTTTTGATAGTGATACTATAATTGGTTGTTGTTTCAATCATTTCTTTTAGTACCATTTGCCTAACTGACAAAGTTCTTGAAAATTCTACAAACATTTCTTAATACTCAAACAACTGAACTGCGCTGGGGGATTCTGAAATATTACACAGCAAATGCTTCACATTTCCTTGAAGAAGCATGATATGATTCATTAATAAATGTGATGACTAATTTTCCCCCATCCTGCATGGCATTCAAAATATATGTGGCTGAATGATTCATAAAAACAGTTCTTTTATGTGTCACTTCTGCTTCTGTTTTGTAAAATTGGAAGGAATTTAATGGAATTAAAAATTTCATAGGCTATTTCATAATTGGAATCATTTTCTTTTATGTATTATTAATTATCTGTATTTATTTTTACATTTAAAAATAGTGTTTTACAAGCATCATCTATGAAATAACTACAGTCAAAATCGTTAATCCGGACTCTTCGGGACTTCGGCGATTCCGGATTATAGATCATCGCTTAAATTGCAAGATGGCATGCAGAAATATAAAATTAGAAAATAAACCATAATTTTGAAATAAAGAACAATTTGATTAAAGGGTATAAAATTTACAAAAAAAAAAAAAAAAATGTTTACTTTATTAAACATTTCTTTCAATGTAGTTGTTCAAGTTGCTTGGTTTTATTGATAATACTTTCTCTTTAATTCTATAAACAGAATTTCGTTTTCAGTTACAAAGTTCCGCTGTTCAAGTCCTATAATTGCGGTGTCGAGAACACCGACTAATTTGTCAATTGAAATTTTTTTCTTTTCGGTAACCTCTGTGCCACTTTCTTCACTATCGGAAGCGATTTCAATAACCTCTATGTCACTTTCTTCACTATCGGAAGCGAATTTAGCAAAATTTATAAAAAATAAAGACTTCTGAATACTGGAATAAAGTTAAAAGTTATAATTGCTCTCAAATATATTTTGATTGGACAGTTGACTAACAGTATATAAAAAAGTAAAGAAACATTTTTGAAAACACAGCTGAGTTCCAATATATAATACAATGGCGAAAAAAGTGTGGATGATTATTCGACAAAAGTCCACTGAATAAAAGCGCAAGTGACAAAAATTAATCTCACTGTGATAATTGCCAATGCGACAAATATCCACACTAATGAACGCGCACATTGATAAAAGACCACACAGACAAAAGCCCATACTGACAAAAACCCAGACCAATGTATATGCACTATGTTGATATTAACACTTTTCCCCCATTTTTTTTATTATACGGAGCAGATTCATGAAAAAAGATAGAATAAAACATTAATTAAGGTTGCTGCTTTTGATGATTTATTTATTTATTTATTTATTTTTGCATATCAAGTTTTAATGGTTATTATAGACAAATCACCAGTTTTTTTGGTCTTAAATTCAATTTAAAAACATGTATTTATGGAATTTAGTTGTAATGGATAAAAATGCTGTGAATCTTCTGGATAAACAACAGCATTTTTCAGCAAATTGTTAAATAAAGGCTTTGCATCTATTCTTAAGGTCACGAAAACTTCACAAAGACAAAAGAAACCTTTTTAAATTTTATTTATTTAAAATGTAAAATATGAATGTAATAATAATTCCTTTTCTTGCATAAAAGTTTGAAAAACAATGCCAAGATGGTCCAACTAATATGCAAGTAACAACAAAGACATGTAAATTCTTAAATGTTTTAATCATTTAATTGAATCAGTTTTATGAAACACATGAATATCTGATCATATTTTTAAAACACTATATGCTATAAAATATTGATATGCTAGTACCTTTCAACTTCACCAGCTTCCACTATCTGGTTTCTTAGATTTTCGGACCTCATATTTCAGAAAATTATATCTGAAACATATAAATATTAAATAAGTATGATATAATAATCAATTTTTTTCTCCCAAACATTATCTATAAGGAAACAAATTATGAAAATGGTAAGCAGTAGAAAAATGACAAACTCATTTTTGCAATTTATGCTGTTATGAAATGTATAAGAATTCCATAGTTTTTGCCTAGCATTAAGTTCTAATGCAGAAAGCATTGGTTACTGTTCTTATTCCTTCTTTAAAAAGTCTCACTTATGGATCCTATATATCAATTATTATATCATTCTCTACAATCATCATCAATCACAGCATAAAATGACAGTCCACTGTATTGTCTTTTTCTTTCCCATAAGTACTTATTCTTTCTTTCTATTTTATTTTGTTTTACTTTAAGTAATATATCTAAACATACAAAATACTTAATGATAATTAAATAAGATTTATAATGATAAATGGCATTTATCAAATGAAAACAATGGTGATAAGAGGAAAAAAGTACTTAGAGTAGCTCACATTTGTTTTTGAACACTTGTGTTTTTCAATTTTATTTGTAAATATCAGCGAAATGGCTATTTTTCTTTCATGTACACTACTGATCATCTTTTTTAAAATTTACTTTTTCTGAGATAAGTTATTCAGAACTTTTTTGGCTAAAAAAATTGTTTACTCAAATAGTCCTGAAATTTGAACTCGTATAACATACATTTTGAAGAAGCAGTTCATATTTAACAAAAACATGAATGTGATGGGACAACCATTTTGTTGGATGTTCCTCAGACAAAATTATATTTTTCACATATTTTGAAATGGATTTAACTAATTTTTCATGCAAGAATGCTCCAATTTGTTCGTAGAACAAAAGACAGTTCAACTGAGAATCGGTTCAATTAAAACAAAGTTTTTACCCCATTCTTGAACCAACAATAACTGAAACTTGCATCCCTTAATTCAGAGACACTCATATCAGCACCGTCTATCAACCAGAATACGCAACAGCATTATTCCTCTACAAGTATTGCTTTTAGCAAAGCTTTTGAAGAAATATCATGTTTCTTTAATCTTTTTTTGGAACTACTCTGATATGCACCCTCAAGGCGGCAAATATTTTTGGCAAGAAACTCCACGCTTGCTATCTAAATTTTTTGTTTACATTTCGAACTTTAGGCGTAAAATGTCTCCAAAAACACGGTTTTCGCGAATGCAAAAACCACGTTTTGAACACACAATTTAAGCTAAAAATCCGAAACAAAAACAAAAAATTTAGATAGCAAAACCGTGAAGTTTCTACCAAAATTATTTGAAAGAGTCCATGTACACAGAGATATGTTTTAACTTAAAAATCATCTACGAATGGCACCTCTAGGCAACGAACGAATTTCCGAACTACGCACACCTCGCTTAATAAATTAACATAACAACAATATTCAAGAATACCATGTACACAGATTCTGTTTCCCTTTAAAAAAAATTCTACGAATGCACAATTTACGGTAACGCACTAATCACAAAATAACTAAATAAAATTTCAAACAATCAAAAAAACAACGACAGAAATTCATACTAAAAAAAAAAAAAAAGGAACATAACATTCTACAAAATAAGAACAGAATAAAATAAAATCACTTACCATTAATTTTTTCGAACAGCAGAAATACCAATTCATACCGCCTTTAACATGTGCCAGTAATCACTATCGTATTTTATTACAGTCACACACTCTCCAGAAAATCATATATGGTTCACAAATAAATAACTAAAAATAATCACAAATCCCTACTTATTGCACACCACTAAAAATAATCTCCCTACCTTCTTTCCACACCTCCAAATACCCATTGCCCCTCTACAGGATGGCCACGACGATATTTCCTTATGCCGAACTTCAACAGATTTCACCATTAAATCTTTCCCCCCCTAGCTTCTCAGACACAAAGCATGGCGGGAACCAACGAACTCCAGCGAAAGATTTTTCAACGTCAACAGGGTTGCCATACAACACGCAATCGTGCCAAAAACCAGCACAGAACACATATCGCCATATTTGGTGAAATTAGGGCGTATACCAGAGTTGTATCCTTTTTTCTAACTCACTATTATGCATATTCAATAAGATCTAAATATGAAAAATATGTAGGAGTTTTAGCATCTTCAGGAAAGTTACAATGACCACAAGCAAATGTTCAAAGCTGCATGTTTTGGATCATCATCCGAAATGAATACATTGGGTATTTCTAATTTTATTGTGCATACTTTCAGATTTTTATTAAGAATATTTATACTGATCCATGCTATTTTAATCAAGGCTAAATTGTCCATCTCGGAAGCAGCAAAACATCTCCAAACGAATATGCCTCAACTGCTTAACTTAACAATAGGCAAAAATTTTTTTGTATTCACTTCTTTATTTGTCTTTTGCCATATAGCAATTTGTCCATTGGACCCACATACACTAAATTTTAATTTGTCTGCAAATATAGCATTGCTCCAATATGATAAATTTTTTTATTACAATGGATTTTTGTGAACATCAGATTTATTTTACTTGCTTTCTTGCTGATTGCCCACTGCATCCATGTGTCCTAATAATTAGTATGAGGATTAAATTTTGTTGCAAACTGCTTTTCAAAATTTACTGCAAGTTTCACACCATGAAATTTTGGATTTTGTTTGATTTTTTTGTCTCTCTGATTCTTTCATGTTAGTTTCGAATATTGACTAGACTTCGGTGCATTTTGAACAGTTTCGTGCAATTTCCATCATTTTGATGCATCAGATATAGTTAAATGCTTTACGGCAAAAGGTTTTTTAAATTTTTTTCGTACTTTTCTGTTTCACCGGTGCAAATCTCGGCAAGCAAACTTTATTGGCGACAACATACAGTATACATATAAAAAATGTTAACAAACGTTATTTCTACGAATTTTTTATTTTGAAGGCATATACATTTTAATATCGTTTAAAATTCTGTAAAAAGCCGATAAATATAGACAATAAATTTGTAAAAAGACATTAATTTAAGAATTTACTATGCTTTCAACGTTTAACATCCTGATTCGCTGGTTCATATCACGTGACTCAAATGATCTCATCTCACGTAAACTACGATACAAAAATCTAATTCTCTCAGTAAATTACAAGTTAAATCTTAATTTGGAACACGAGTTTAAATCCAAGAATTATTTCAATTCATATGAATAGCTTACTCAACTGCTTTGCTTTGCTAGTACATTCTCATTAGAATTCATGAATTTAAACCTTGACTTTGTCTTTTCTACATTTTCGCCTTCGGGTAAGCGGTGTGATTGCATCCAAATTCCCTTAATTTTCGCGAATTGCCTTAGGGCATAAAATTGAACTATCTGGTAAAATTATATGTAATTGTATGCCTGTGTTGAAAGAAACAATCAATCTGATAAGAAATGGCTGCGACATGTTTTGAAAATGAGGCGTAAAAGGTTACCAGCGAGGATATTCCGTTTGGCTTCGATTGTACCATTATTTTACCGCCTGCGCCAGCAAAACGGAAAAGTACCAATCTTTTTTCTATTTTGAATACACTTTTGTGCAATTTCCACCATTTTAATGCATCAAATATAGTTAAATGCTTTACGGCAAAGTGTTTTAAAATTTTTCTTTATTTGGAATACTTTTACTATTTTTAAAATCTGGAATACTTAAATTTTCAACAGAACTTGCTAATTTGTAGCATCTTACCCTGTTCACTTCATATATGGAACTGTTAATATATTATGCTAAAGAAGTAATAATTTCACTGCACATGATAATTCTTGTGACCTATTTTCATTTAAAACCAAAAATGCTGACACGAAACCAGGGCTGTGGAGTGGGTAAGGGAAATGATCAACTCTCCCTCATATATATGTAAATATATACACATGCATTACAGTTCATTTTTATAAATATATATTAAAAAAGTAATAGATGCTACAGAAAAGAAAATTGATGGCATAGAAGATTATTTAATTAGCATGAAATGAAAAAAAAAAAAAAAAAAAACTGGCATTACTAATTTCTGAGAAATGGTATGGCTTCAGTAAGATCTTTGATAGAGGACTGCACATCTGATTTGATAAACTTCAGAGCTGAGAATAATCTTTCCACACTAACTTGAGTAGAAAGAAGAGCTGTTATTGTTAGGGCTACTTCTTTTAACTTTTCAGGATAGATTTATGAAGTTCTAAAAGAGATGTTTTTACAAAAGCGATCATGTTTCTGTATTTACTCAAGGCTTATGTAGAAATCTTGCTTGTATTTTATCATTTTTATATCTAAAGCCTCTTGGTTCTTTATTTTCATTCCCTTTGCCTTAGCCTTTTCAATATTGTCCAGATATTCCTCAAAATCTAATACATCATTGGAAGAGGATGATAGTTGAAATGTCTGCAGTATGACTGTGCTGATATGAATACTCCAAATGGTCTGAGAATAATTTTATTCTTAGTGAAAGTGACAGACGGCTTTCTTTGGCTTTTTAATTTGTTCATCACCCAACGAAATTCGGCGTTTTGGATCTACATATATTGAACACAGCAAGATCTCGGTGTCTAGCAAACTAGTTTCTCTTCTTTTCATTGAGGAAATGATTCCTTCTGTAATAAAACCGGTTGATCTTTACATTACGGTAACTGGTAGTTTGGCGACATTTTGGAGGCGATAAAGGTTACTACCTGGGACTTTGGTAATAACGTGAGCAGTACTGAGTTCCGATTACGCATTATTTTGTGTGGGGGAAATGAGAGATCATGGGATATGTCATGTGATATTAATGGACGAATTACGGTTCTTTAATCGGAAAAGGGGGGAAATCGGGAAAAAATCTGGAAATTTTGTATTTGGCTTTATTCTGTGTTGTGTGAAACAGTGTTTTTTTTTGAATTTTTGGATCCCATGGCCGTAAGTAAAGTGAATTCGAAATGGGTATTTAGTGGTATTGAAAAGGATAGTAAGAAATGTTTTTTAAGGTTGTGTGAGAGAGAAATAAACATGTTTTATTATGTT